TCCCGTAATTGGGGAAGAGGCGCGCGGGGACCCGTGCGGGCTTCTCCCTCAGTCATGTCAGGTTCCGGGGGAGGTGAGAAAGCAGCCGCTTCCAGGAGAGCTCTCCCAGCAGTAGTAGGGACAGGGCAGGAGGCTCAGTTGGGGCTTCCCTCCACCTCCCTGGACCCATGTCATAATACTCCACAGCTTTGTGTAACTGAGACCCCATTTGGGTTGAGTTAGGAAAGTGACAGAAGAAAAGGCTGGTGCTATTGCTGTCCACGAGTTTCCGCCATGAAACTATCACCCATAGTGGCCCCTACTGTTGGCAGCTCCTCAGAGAGGTCTCAGTGGACACAGACTGAACTCCCCCTAAAACCTGTCCCTGCAGGTTAAGACTGAGGCCCATTGGTTGGGGCAGCCTGAAGGAAGCATGCCCTGACGGTAATGCACCCGCTCCAGGCATTGGAGAACTCCAAGAGTGGCTGCCAATACAACCCATTTCAGCAGCGCTGGGGAAAGGAAAGCTAGAAGGGAGGGAAAGAAAATGGTGACGCTGCACAGATCCATCTTGGTGAAGTTTAATGTTAGTTTCGTCGTTTGTCTTTAACCTGCCTTTAAAGGGCTGTCTGTGTCTTTGTCTCTGTCGGAAGCAACTGGGTCATGTTGTTCTGTGTGGCTATTGTAATATGCCACCCACTATTTTTCTCATAGGTTGTTTTTGTAATCGTCGTGTGCAATCTGTTTGTTCTCCGAGTTTTGCGTGCCTAGCCTTTCCTGGTAAGTAATACTACATGGACTCAGGTATAGACATTAACTAGTTGGTTGCAGGCAGTGGGAAAATATTGAGAAAGGAAACGTGGGGTCTTTAATTGAGGTGAATCTAGCCACCAATTTGTTCACAATTAGCGATGGTCTTGTGTGATTGGCCCGCAGGAAAAGTATACCTTCATTCTTTGCAGCAACAATAGTAGAGAGTGCATTATCTGTCACATGGATTGTTTTTTTCTTCTCATAGGCTGATTGTGCCATAGAGGTTTCAGCTAAAAACAGGCCATATGTTGAATGGTATTCAGTGCTTGCAGTTTCCATTGACTTCCCAGGGGCTACAGGTATTCAGCTTTGGTCAAAACCAGGCCCAGAGGCGGCCAATGTTTTCAGTCATGGGGGCCTAGAGATGGGATCCTAAATCTGTATTTACACAGAAGTGGCATGGGAGGGGGAGGGTTCAGAAGTAGTGAACACCCACAAATCCTGAAAATCAGGGCACTTGTATGTATTTCTATGTCTAAATATGGATTTAGAAACCTACCTTTAGGCTCCCAGGTTTGAAAATTTTGGCTTAAGTGACTTTCTCCCCGGCTACCAGTAGCAGAGCTGAGAACAGACCTTACATCTCCTGATCCCCAGCATACATCCTGCCCATTGCACCTCATGATATGCAGCCGTCCCGCAGCATCCCAGTTTACGCACAGACTTATGAAGACGTCTTTGGGCCCTTCAGCTCTCCCGTGTGACTGGTTCCAGCAGCACCTCTGTCTTCAGACGTAACAGTGAAAGCTGGGAACCACTAATAAATTAAGATGGGTTAGGCTCAGCTAGTACCTGGATGGGAATTTCTGTGGAAACACCCGGAATGGCTGAAGCTGTGTGGGCTGGAGAAAGCTAGAACATCAGAAGTCCTGGAGGAAAACCTTAGGAGCAACCAAGTACTCCCCTGGCCCTTGTAATGGTATGTGAGCACCTGGTTCAAATCCCTGCTCCAACTCAGGCAGTGGGTGGCTCAGCTGGGAAATGAATCCAGATTTCCCACGTCCCAGTCCAGAGCCTTAACCGGGAAAGTAGCCTGCAAATAGCTTGCTGTAGCAAATGAAAGTGACGCACTGGCCGGAGGAAGAGGTATATTCAAGTGCATGGGAACTGGCTGAATGATGAATGGAAGAAGGGGGAAAATACGATGCGGCATGTTCCATTCACATGTTAACAAAGGAAACTGAGAAGTGTTTGCATAGACATTACATTACTCTGAGTCCAAATGCCTCATAAAAATGATACCGGATGATCACAGAACGGCACACAGGGGAGGTTAAATTCTCCTGGAGAATAGTCCCTCGGGAAGAACAGTGTGTGAAGTAATACACTAATGGCTTTCAATTTCATGTTTTATATAGAGAGATATTAACTGCTCCCCAGACATCACTTCTTATTACAGCAATGCTGCGTAAGCACTTTGGATGAGACCACTGAGCACTCTTGGCCTTGTCCACCCAGAGAAGGGAGGGTAACGGGGGGCTCTGTCATGTCACACATGTAAAAGACCTTTTTAGTCCATTTCATCTATCTCCTTGCTGCAGAGAGACTGCTCCATGGTCCTCGTTGTTAGGAAACTTTTCCACCGCTTTCTCGCCACATACCGCACCCTAAATTACTCCTCTCCCAGTACGGCAAGGGATGTCTGTGTAAGAGGGAGCATGGGGCTGTGAATCAGGATACCAAGAGTGAATGATCTACAAAGTATCAGAGGGGGAGCTGTGTTAGTCTGAATCTTTAAAAAGCACCAAAGAGCCCTGTGGCACCTTATAGACTAACAAATGTATTGGAGCATAAGCTTTTGTGGGTGAATACCAACTTCGTCAGATGCATGCGTCTGACGAAGTGAGTATTCACCCATGAAAGCTTATGCTCCAATACATTTGTTAGTCTATAAGGTGCCACAGGACTCTTTGATTTACAAAGCTAAGCTTAAAGGGAAAAAATCTATTTATTCCCCTGTGACAGGGTGAACTCACCCTGCACTGGACGGGGAAGGGTTAACTCCTCACAGTGGGTAGAGGAAGCCACGCCCCTACGTCCCTACCGGGCATGCTCCAGGTGTAGCAGCAGTATAAGAGGGAGTAGCCCGGCATAGTCTGGGCTGACTGCTGGAGAGGAAGGATGCTCCTTGCTGGCTCCTGCCCTGGAACCACTGGAGCCCCGGACCGCGGAAGTCAGAGGTCCAGGGCCCATTCTGTACTGCACTAGACAAGGTCTCCCCGACCCCGTCACATCCCCCCAGCTGGGCTTCCTAGTGTGCTCCTATCTGCTCTCTGACCTAGAGTATTCCCACCGGGTTGCACAGAGTGTAAGCTCTTTGTGGCGGGATCTGTATTATGTGACCCTTACAGCGCCAGATGCAACTTCACAAATAAGAATGATTTGGGTTCCATTCCAAGCTCTCCTAAGAGCTCTCAAACATCACCTTGCCCTCATCCTGAAGGGTCTTAAAGTGCCGTCCATGATTTATGTCCTGGATCCGCTTTACTTGCTGCTGAAACGCGCTTGCCCAGCACAACAGCTGTTGCTGTAGATCAGCACCGTGCACTCGTTTGGGACAGGCAGTGAAGAAGCTGTAAGCGCACGGGTATTCATGTCCTCATCTCTTCCATGCACAGCGGTAGACAGTTCAGCCACCTGGACAATTGAGCAGGCTGATTTTTTATTAAACTTTACAGGGGTTTTAATTTTTAAGACAGATACACACGCGCCACTAAATGAGTGCTCGTTTGGTGGTTGGGTTATTTAATGATTTGAAAGGACATCTTTCAATTGAATGTGTGATACCATTTGAACAGCTATCTCCTGGCCATCGTCCTGCTCTCTTTGCATAGTCTTCACTTCCCTAGCAACCGTCTCACTCCACTTGCCAAGTCCCAAATGTGTGATGCAATATTGTCCCACTGTTCCCTTCTGCTCCCCCACCTGTCTATCCAGCCGTCGTCTCTTGTCTTGTATTTAAATTGGAAACCTTTGGGACGAGGACCGTGATTTTGTTCTGCGTTTGTACAGCGCCTACCACCATGTGGTCCTGGTCTATGACTGTGTCTTCTAGGTGCTATAGTAATACAAATGATAAATAATACTGTCTGACAAGACCCAAAAGGAGGGACACAGAAATTATTCTTGCAGGAAACTAAATATGTCCATGAAATCTCCTCCTTTAGTGGGGTTGAAACCTAAGCTTCTGTAAATTAGAGTGACCACATAGCAAGTGCGAAAAATCAGGACACTTTTTTTGGGGGGGTGGTATAGTTGCCTTGCCGATACAAGACAAAGCCCCTAATATTGGGACAGTCTCGATTATATTGGGATGTCTGGTCACCCTACTGTAAATCTTTATTGCTCTGTTGAACTCTGTGGAATTATGCTGAATTTCACCAGCTGAAAACTTGGCACTATCTCTGTTCCATAATTCCGCATGTCTGAGCTAAATCATTATCAACGCTGAATGCTAGCGGTGTGGAACATCGGCAATCAGCAGCGTGGAACAGCAGAGTGGGGCTGAAATGAGCGATGTCCCTCGGAGCTGTGCTTGTCACTGCGTTGAGTACTCCCACCTTCCCCTTTTCAGCGCCTGTACCACAGGCTTCTTTTCGGAAGTGCCCTTTCTCGCGAGCTAAGCAACTTCACTCAGCCTCCCTCCCCTTTCAAACATGCATCCCACAAAGCACTTCTGCATCAGCCTCTCCAAGCCCGGTCCGTTGTCCGTGCCTGCCGTGTCTTGTCTCTGTGTGTGCGCCCTGGATTGTCTGTTTCTGTAGAACTGTAAGCCCGCAGCGCAAGAGATAGGTGTTGCAATCTCCCTAGCCATTCAGTCCTTAATTTCTTTGTTGCGACCCCCACCAATGGTGCGCACTGCGTTGGCGGTTCCTGGGGTGAGAATGCAGGGAGCTGCATTGAGACTGCTCATGTAGACCACCAAACAGCCTCCCATAGGTGACAAGTGTTAGTCCCCATTGGTATGGGCTGCATTCGATGTGATGACATACAAGTGAAAGGCACCAGAGCCTGGGGTCCGGCCCCAGAGCCATCTGATCCTCCAGAATGTGCAAATCTTTGCTAGGCATGAGATTGTTCTTTGCGGCTGAGGGCAGGAATTGTACATGACCATGTTGTGACATTGTACCTCAAGCTAGCACCCCGGAAACGCCATATTCACCACTTTGAGATAATTATGACATCTCTTCTCCTCTCTTTCCCCCCAGGCCGCTGTTCCCGTTGCGGTGAGAACGTTGTCGGGGAAGGCACTGGCTGCACTGCCATGGACCAAGTGTTCCATGTGGAATGTTTTACCTGCATGACCTGTGGCAACAAGCTCAGAGGCCAGCCTTTCTACGCGGTGGAGAAGAAAGCGTATTGTGAACCCTGCTACATCGTAAGTGCCGAGGCTCCTTTCCAACGTGAATACAAACCAACAAAGTTTAGACATCTGTCGATACTCCCCTCCCTACTGTAGATTGCAGCATTGCCGTACAATTAAGGGTGAGCAACTCAACTTGCATAGAGTAAGAACAGACCCATTCATGATGTTCAGAAACAAGTTAAAAAAAATTTCCCCCTTTCCCTCTTGCACATGATTTCTGGTGTCCAGCCAAGCCTTGAAACAAACATGCCAAAATAGAAAGAAGTTTTTCTTGTGATAATCTCAGCCTGGCTGGGAAGAGAAGTAACAGCACTCTTAGGAGAAAGCCCTGTTCCCAAAAGCTTTCCACTGTAAGAGACCTGATTCTGAAGTCCTTGGGTCAGTAAAACTCCCACTGAAGGAGGGGGGAGACTGAAGGATCACGATGTAACTTTGCAACCCCACAGGACGATAAAAGCCGCCGAACAGCATCCAAACTTTAGGCCCCATCCATTGCCCTTTGAAATCAGGAGGAGTCCATCAACCAGTTTCAAGGGTCTTTGAATCCAGATGCCTTTTGCGGTTCACCCATTACCCATTAAAGAGTCTGCATTTACCATGCCCTGGTATTTTGACGGTTTGGGTGAAAAAATTAGTTATAATCCCTGTATTTAGAATAAGCGAAGCTGCAGAATATCGCAGAAAAATTCTGTGGAGACCAATGAATCTTTGTGTAGATTTCTCTCTAATTCCTAGAACCCTTTCTCTCAACACTGGCTTTTGTCAAACATCGCTCAGTTATATTTAGTCTCCCCTAATTGCAAGGTGAGGGGCGACAGCCAGGGTAACTAAGCCCCCAACGTCGAGTGTCCTTTGCAAGCTAAGCAGCCTGTCCTGAAAGGAGCTGAGTGCCTCCCATGAGATGCTGAGCACCCCGCATTCACATTGATGTCAGGGGGGAAATGAGGGTTGGGCACTTCCCAGAATCAGGCCTTCATGAGACCCGGTATCTGAAACCCATTTGCTATTTGCTAAAAGCTTTAGTTCCTCGGTAACGTTCTTTCGTCACTTTTTTCTTATTTATTATCATTACTGCTTCAGAGCATGGTAACAATGCCTCATTATGCCTTGCCATTAGTCCTTTGCAGTGGGATTATCGCTAAAGTGTTGAATGCAATAATGGAGGATCGATGCTGCCTTATTTACAATGGCAATGGTGGATGGTCCCGGTTAATTGGCTCTTAAAAACGAAATGATTTTTTGATGTGCTTTTAAACCATTTCTCCTTTTAATGTTAGCATTAAAATTATTGTGCCATCAAATTTTTAAGGTTAATTTTGTGGCACGTGTGTTGGCCCTTGGGAGGAGACCATCATTCATTGCAAGGTGTGTCGTAATACACTTGGGACAGTGCTTTCTATCACTGAAGTTAAATGTCTCATTGACTTCGGGCTGGGATCTGCTAGTAGGTTAATACTATTTTTTTTTTTTAAACCAGGCATGATTTCTTCACTGCGCATCTGCTTTAGTTTGGGAGAACATCTGCATTAGCCACTGTAATAATGGGTTGAGATTATTTAATCCTATTACTTATACACTTCATTAGCCTGAGTGAATTGTTGGCAAGGGTTCAGTAAACTTCCTACGTTGGGAGATAAAAGGATGAGAGGAAAAATACAGAAGGATTCTGTTCCTCATCTTCTTTCAAATTTATCTTCTATCTTTTTAAGGGATAAAGCAATGATAATTGCTTGGCTGCATCTGCAATAGTAAATTCCACACTACAGCTTTGAACACAGAGGAAAGGATAAACTTTTTATTTTTATAGCTTCTTTGAAATGATTAAGCCAAAAAAAAAAAAGTGTCCTTTAAATGTTCACCTGCACAAGCCACAAAAAACGAAGCTTAAAGGCCTGGCACAAAACACTCCCGGGAATCCAGTCTGTTGCTGATGTGAAAACAACATTAATGGCGTTACATACCCATAGCATGACATAAATAGGGGCAGTGATTTTAAACATCCAGATGGGGAAACTGGAGTCAAGAGTTTGACATCTGATTCAGCAAAGCCCTTAAGCATGTGCTGGACTTTAAGCACGTGCCTAAGTCCCATTGTCTGACATTGTCTGAAATGGCACATAAGCATGTATTTTCAAAACATGCCTAGCTGACTTCGGAGCCTACGTGCCATTTCAAAAGCGACTCCGGAGTCCAAGTCTCCTTGAACATCAGTTTCACACTATGTGCTTTGCTGCGTTGGGGCCTGAATGTTGTGCCTATGGCTGCACGGCAAATCAGCGACTGAACCAGGCTTAGAAAGTAGAGGCCAAATTCTCCGCTGGCATAAATGAGCATAGCTCAGGAGAGCTACCCCAATTAACACCACCTGAGGTTCCGGCCCCAGGAATTCTTGGCTTCTGTTCCAATACTCACACCACTAAACCAGGCTGCCTCTCTGAGATGAAAGAAGACAAAAAAGTGTTTGCCTCATCCAGATTTATAAACCAGGAACTGTTTGCTCTTCTGATAGCTCGCTCGGAGTGATTGCACCATGCGTGTCTGCATAGTCAGGCCACAGGCAAATAAAATGTTTTTGAACAATTAAAAATTGGCAAATGTTTCCGATGTTACTCTTGTGGTGGGGGAGCAGTAGTGAAGCCATAGTTAAGGTTACAACAGAAATTATGTTTAATTAGTAAATAACATTGATCTGGTGGTTAAAAAAAAAAAAAAAAGTGAGTAAACTAACCTAAACTAAAGTACATATTCCCCCAGTGAGAAGTTGGTAAACTCCAGTTACCCACGTTTACCCTATGCTACTGGTCAATATTGACGATAAAAGCCTGCAAACGTATCTCTCTGGTTTTGTTTATCATTGCCCCTCTTAACACAAAATGTTCAAACAGGGTCAGGTCCAAAACCTACTGCAGTCACTCACCCCTTGAAACAATTCCTTATCCCCATCTCAGGAAAAAAAATGCCACCCGGTCTTGAGAACTTGAGTTTGACCCTAGAATTAGTTCCTAACTTTTAAGCACCCAAACAAGAGCATTTAATACAGACCGACGACTATTGCATTGCAATTGCTAAATGCTACAAATGCATTTTTAATTCTGTTGCTCATGCTTTTGCTCAGTATTATTCATTTTATTCCTAAAACGCCACCAACCTCCCTCCATCAAGACACCTGCGGTCAGTTAAAAGCAGTTGTGATAAGCGAAGTGTTAACATCGGGCAATGTGTCACTCCCTATCACTACTACAGACAATCTAACCCCTAAAATCTGACAATATGTCTCCGATCTAACTAGACCCTCCGATATGTAAGCCATGTAGCGCGGCTACAATCTGTTGTCAATGTTAATATACTTTTTCCCCCTTACAGAGAAATTTACTGCCAAAAGCCTTTGGTTTGCTTGCTCGGTATTTGGGGGAAATTTTTGCATTGGGCTTTGTATAAAGAAGAGGTTAAGGGGAACATTGCAAACATTGTCATAAAAGATTGAAGAGCAAGATGTTAGAGCCGCGCCAGCTGTCTCCTTTCCAACTACAGTATTACCATAAGGACTGAACGCAAGGTTAGCCAGATATACTGGTCTGGCAGAGGATGCTGGTGTTTTGCAAATGGGAGTGTTTTTTGATGTCCTGATGACTTTCTCTGGGACATGGAAATTTCCTTCCATTCTTCATCCCTGCTTCTTGGCAATCACTCCCCGGTTGTAACAGTGAGTGATAAATGATCTGTAGGACCAAGTCCTGAGAGATGCTGAGCACCTGTCGTTGCCGCTGCCGGCAATAAGATGTTGAGTACCCTCCCAGAATTTCCCTCTGTTGTATGAGTGTCAAGGTCACCAAGTATCGGGTCTTGATGGAGCTGGCTGGGTGCCTTGGGGAAGAGGATGGGAGAAAGCGTAAAGAATTCTTCAGGCAAACCGGAAATATTCAGTAGTCAAAGCCGAGGGCCCTCAGAGAAGAACATCAAAAATTAGGGGGCGGGAAGCAATGAGCGGTGAAATAACAAAAGAGCAAAGTTATCATGAGCCAGAGCTGCCCTGCCATTTTTAACAACTCCGCCTAGAACTGGGGAAGTCAAATGGTGCTGTATTTCAGGCGCCGGGCCAAAACTCCGGAGATTGGGGTTCGATTCCTGCTTCAGCGGCAGGCTCCCCTATTTTCCCTTTCTGTGTTGTCAACTTTTCTCTTTCCTGGTGTTGTCAACTTCCCTGGAGAAATCGCTTAGGGTAAAAAAAAAATGTAAAATCACTGAGGAGACTGTCCCATTAATTTTCAGTGGGCCTTGAACTCTTAAGGTGTATTAGGTGAGTGTGGTTTTGAAAGTATTCCCCTAATCTTTCTGTGCCTCAGTTCCCCAGTGGTAAAAATGGAATAATAATACTCCCTTTCTCCCGCCGTTTGTCTGTCTTGTCCATTTCAATCAATGTTTGCATAGCACAGCGGGGCCTGCATTTAGTGTGTTGGTGATTTTTTTGCAGGAGGGCACGCTTGATGGTCTGGTGGTTCCTTCTGGCCTTGGACTCTGAATCTGCTCCCATTGAAATCAATGGCAAAACTCCCATTAATTTGGCTGGGAGACGTTAGACCAGTGCTGATTGCTTCTGAGAGAGGGGGGCCTGTGAAGTAAGGTTAGCGTGCACAGATCTAAAGTCTGAGGTCAATCCCCACTGTAAAATTACATCTGTCTTTTAAAAGAATTCTAAATCATGTATGTAGATATTCAGCACGAATTTAGCAACAACGTAACAATTTAAATTGGACAAGAAAAGAGACGCTCTAATTTAAAGAATGTTTTATGATTTTTTTAAGCCCTTTATTCTTGTTTTTGTCAAGCGACATATTGAATTTGAGAGTAATTTATGGAAAGTGTTGCCTGTGTGGTGTTGCGAGTGCTCCGCAATTTGAATTTAAACTGCTCAATGGGATCATTAAGACTATTATGCATGTTTTCCCAAAGAGTTTGAATTCAAAGTGACAACTCGAACAGAAATATAAAGTCGTGCACTCCTTAAATCATGG